TCCTACATGGTAACGCGCGGGCGGGCAGGGCCCCTGATGAGGGCGCGGGAGGAACGAGGCCCGGGGACCAGAGAGAGGGGGCCGCGGGGGACGGGCCGCGGGCGGTGGCTCAGAGTCGCCAACTCGGGCCGCCGCGCCGCTGGCGGGACAAGTGGCCGGGATGAGAGGCAGCGCGGCCGGCCGACCACGGCCCCGAGACCCTGCCGGAACCTGCGCTACGCGCCGCTTCCCCTCGGCTCCCGGGGTAAATTTCCCAAAGATCCCAGAAAGTGGGACTCCTCTGGGGTCGGGATCTGTCGCGCTCTGTCCTTCGTTCACGCCCCGAAGCTTGGCGAGGGGTCCAGAGCGGGCCCAGGGCTCGCTTCTGTTGTCTCGGGGCTCGAGGGTCGGCGCCACGGGGACCTCCGGGCGGCTGCCAGGCGCTTAGCAGTTACTTGCGGGGCTTAGGGTCACCGGGTTGGGGGAGGGAGCGAAGCATCTGCCGCTGGCTTCGGGGCCAGCCCAGTCCGCCATGGTCTGGGTCTTAACCTGTCCCACAGGCCGCGCTTTCCAAAAGCCTGTGGGCGGGCCTGTGTCCCGCCAGTGCCGCCCGGGTCCCCCGCGAACCACGAGCAGACAGCTCCTGCTCCCCGGACCTCGGGTCTGCGGCCGGGCGGGCGGCGGTGGCGAAGGCGGAGCGCGGTTCGGGCGATTGAGGCCGTACCGGGGGTTGTCGGCACCGCCCGCCCTCGGCGGGATCCCTGGGCAACGACTGAGTGGCTGGGGCCTTGGAGAGGGCTGCAAAGGCCTCGAATTTAAACGTTAAAGGCTGAATTAAAATGCTAATTACGGCGTATTTGAAGAATTCGAAACGGTGACTGGCTTCTGAGTTGCAAATTGGATTTGCTGAGCTTTGGAGCTGTGAATAGCCGAGCGGGGGCTCGGGGTGGTTTTTTAACCATATAAGGGCGGGGTTGGGGGAGAGGGGGGAGGCCGCAGCGCCTGCGAATCCAGAGAAATTTAGATATCAAGAAACTACCTGGGGGCCTCTGTGTGCCTGCGTGTTCCCGTGCGTCTGTACCCACGGCTCCGGACTTTGGGGGGAAGATATGTCATTTTAGGAAAGTGAAATAGTTAAACAATTCCAGAATAAAACTGCAGCGCTTTTGGTGATCAACAGCTGTAAAAAAAAAAAAAAAAAAAAAAAAGCCCGCTGCGTTTTTTTCTGCTCTGCCGCAGCGGGAAGCACCGCCCTACGCGGGAGACTCGCCGTGGGAAAGGCGGCCGCGGGCGGGCCGAGGGGTCGCTTTCGGGCTGTTGCCTGCCGGGGCCTCGGGCACCCCACTCACCAGGCTCCTCTCGGTTCCAGGGCGCACCCTACGACGCGCACACCACCGGGATGACGGGCGCCATCAGCTATCACCCTTATGGCAGCGCGGCCTACCCGTACCAGCTCAACGACCCGGCGTACCGCAAGAACGCCACCCGCGATGCCACGGCCACGCTCAAGGCCTGGCTCAACGAGCACCGCAAGAACCCCTACCCCACCAAGGGCGAGAAGATCATGCTGGCCATCATCACCAAGATGACCCTTACGCAGGTCTCCACCTGGTTCGCCAACGCGCGCCGGCGCCTCAAGAAGGAGAACAAGATGACTTGGGCCCCGAGGAACAAAAGCGAGGACGAGGATGAGGACGAGGGCGACGCGGCTAGGAGCAAGGAGAGCCCCGAAAAGGCGCAGGAAGGCACCGAGACTTCTGCGGAGGATGAAGGTGAGCGGGGGCGCGGCGGGCGCGAGGCGCGGGGGCTTTCTCCCCAGGCGGGGCACAGAGCTGAGAGCGGGGACGCTA